TGCCTCCAGGGATGACAGGTGAGCCCGGTGGGCATCGTCGTGTGTTGGGAGCCAGGTGTCGGGTGGTGCAGGACAGGCTGGACTTCCCCAAGGCCACCAGGTGTGTTGCCCTGGGAGGTTTTGGCGGCTCACACTGGTCACAAGGGAACGGAGTATGCTCTGTGACCTGGCCTGCAGGACCTGCGGGTCAGGAAACATAACTTACAGGGCAGGCTGAGCTCCGAGGGTTCACAGCGGCCTGGGCTGCTGGTGTTTCTCATTGCGCGGGCTGCTCCCCGGGAGGTCTCTGGGTGGTAGTGGCCCTCCTCCAGGGACCCACGGTGTGGCCTGTCCTGCACAAGGGGCTCGGACTTTGGATCATGCTGCTCTCATAGCATCACAGTCGTTCCTGGCCAGGGACTCTGGGAGCGTGCGCAGGGTGTGAAGTCCGGCTCATGCTGGCGTCTGTGCCAGGGGATTGGGCCCCAGCCGTGTGCTCAGGACCTGCCTGGTGCAGGAGCCAAGGCTGGGGCCGAGGGGGAGGCGGGAGCAAGAGTGACTCCCTCTGGCTCAGAGCTCTTTGTCCGGCCAAGTGGCTGGGGACTCGGCCATCCCAGGTAGGGATGCTGCAGGACTGAGATGTGGGGGGCAGCCTGGAGGTGCTTCAGGGACCCCCAAGGAGGGAACCTCTATAACCAGGATCACAGGCCCAAGGAATGTAAGGAGCGGGTGCCCGATGACCCCTGGGAGGGGCCTTGGAACCATCCAGCCAGGCCCCTGGAGAGGTGCAGGGCCATCAGACAATCCCAAGGTTATTTGGATCATGGGGCCAGAGAGACGGTCCCCATGGCTCTGGGTGCGAGCCTGGCTGGCCAGCCCTAAGGGATCTGGGGTACTCCCAGGGTCTCTTGCAAACCTCAGAGCCAGTGCCTGGCTTTACGCCCTCTCTTCTGCAGCTCCAGCTCTGTCCTGGAGGACCACGCTAGCCATCCGACAGGCTCTCCATGCCGGCCCCACCTAGTCCTTCTCCAGCCGGCAGCCAGCATGATCTTTAAAAGTATAACCCACATCACATCGCTCACCCACTTAGAGT